CTCCCCTTCCCCTGGGTAATTCGGTGCTTCCCAAACATGGACTTAGGTAGCCATCCTTAGCCTGGCTGCACATTGCATTTTCAACTTAGCTGGGGAGTTTTTGTGATCTGTGTGGACATGCATGTGTCTAAAGGTAGGAGCCCCACCTCCAGAATCTGATTCAAAGGGCCTGGGGTAGGGCCTGAGCATCAGCCTTTGCCAAAGCCCCCTCTGTGATTCCAACGTTCTGCCCAGCTTGACAGCCACACAGTGGATTCTGAGGGTTCTCTGTAAACTGAATATAAACTTCAAAACCCATCTGTCCCCTCTCCTAGTCACCCTGAAACTCCCAGTGTCGCAGGACTGAGCTCACCTGCTAGCTGAAAACATCCAGGGCTCCCTCCACACCTCTATGGGGCTCCCACTGTGTGCAAACATTTCTGACTGTGCTCTTTGGGAAGCTTACCAAAGAGGTCAAAGAAAGGTCACTTCCCTCCAAAGTACGAGGACGTGGGAAAAAACACACACACAAACACATGCAAGTCTTGTACAAAAGGAGTTTCGCAGACCAGGAAACTGACCCTCTGAAAGGGGAAATGACCGCCCGGTAAGTTCACTGTGGAGCCAGGACCCTTACCCAGCATGCCTTTCTACCACTCCGACTCATTTTCACCTGAGCCCATGCTGCACTTACTGTCCTTCTGTTGGCTGGGCCTGGCCCACTGCCAACACCTTCCCCAGCCACCTAGCCAGGCTCGCTGGGGGCCAGGCATTGGACTCAGTATTTGTTGAATGAATGAATGTAGCCAGCCCAGCACCTGCCCACTGGCTGGCATTAAGAACCTGTGGCTCAGATAACCTTGAAAATGAGTCCTATTGAGCTGGATTAACTCATGTTCCCACAGACTCAGGAGTCCCTGAGTCTTTCTTTTTCCAGAGTCCTTGCTTTACATCAGAACGACCATAAGATGCACCCCAGTTCTACCGTCAGTGTCATTTGTATGTACCGATGAGTTCCCGTGTGCTGCACTTGACCAGTTAAATGAAAGTTATTGTAGATACTGAATTCTATATTTGTAGACACTGATGTTTCCGATTTTATCCATTTATTTTTGGGTCCTTTGACATTTCCAGTCATCTGTTAGAATGCTCCTTAGCCTTGCGCTGTACTCTGATGTCTCACAGACCATTGCTGAACTCAGAATAAAGGGCAGGCCTTTCCTGCTTGGGGGCAGAGGCTTGAAGGACACGGTCAGTGTTGCCATCAAAGGACCAGTTAGCTTCTTTCGGGGAAAACTTCACTGCGATACAATTTATACCGTACAATTCACCCATTTAAAGTGTCCCATTCAGTGGATTCTGGTATATTCATAGTAGGGCCAACCAATCACCACATCAGTTTTAAAACATTTTCATCACCCCCCTCCCCCAAAGAATCTAGTGTCCTTTATCAGTCGTGTTCCACTTGCCCCCCCCCGCCCCCACAAAGCCTCTCCCAACTCTGGACAACTGCTGATCTACTTCCTGTCTCTAGAGATTTGCCTCTTCTGGACATTTCACACCAACGGAGTCATGCACCTGCGGACTTATGTCTGGCTTCTTCCACATGGCACAATGTTTTCAAGGTTTATCCATGCTGTGGTACGTGTCAGGGCTTCGTTCCTTTTCATGCCCAAATCATACTGATGGTATAGGTATGCTGCATTTCATTTATCCGTTTATCATTTGATGGACATTTAGGTTGTTTCCACTTTGGGGCCAGTGTAAAGGATGCTGCCATGAAGGTTTGTGTCCAAGTTTGCGCACACGTGTACTTTTATTTCTCTCGGGCGCACACCTACCAGTGGAATTTCTGGACCATCTGGTAGCTCTGTGTGGAGCATTGTGAGGAAGTGGCCGACTGGTTTTGAAAGCGACTACACCATTTTACATTCCCACCAGCCATGTATGGAGTGTCTTGTTTCTTCACGTCCTTGCCATCCCTGATTATGGCCTTTTTGATTACAGCCATCCTGTTAAGGTTGAAATTGCGCCTCCTTGTGGTTTTTATTTGCATTTCTTTGATGAGGTTGTATATCTCCTCATGTACGTGCTGGCCATTTCCTTACCTTCTTCGGAGAAATATCTATTCAGATTCTTGGTTGAAATTTTAATTGAGTTATCTGCCTTTTTAATATTGAGTTGTAAGAGTTTCTTACCTATTTTCGATACAAGACCTTATCAGGTATACAATTTGCAAATATGTCCTCCCCTCTTGTGGGTTATTGTATTAGTTTGCTAGGGCTGCTGAAACCAAAAAGCACATTCTGGGTGGCTCAAAGGGCAGAAATTTCTTTCTCACAGTCCAGGAGGCTGGGAGTCCAAGATCAAGGTGTCTGCAGATTTCTTCCAAGGTTTTTCTCCTTGGCTTGTAGATACCCACCTCCTCCATGTGTCTTCCCAAGGTCTTCCCTCTCTGTGTACATCCCTGATGTCTTTTCTTCCTCTTATAAGGACACCAGTCCTACTGGATTTAGGCCCTACACCACGGGGTCTCACTTTAACTTAATCATCTCTCTAGTGACATTATTACCAAATAGAGTTACTTTCTGAGGTACTGGGGGTTGGGACTGCCACCAGTGAAATTTGGGGGGGGTACAATTCAGCCTACAACAGTTATCTTTTCACTTTCTTGATGGTGTCCCAACTTTTGTAACACAGAAGTGTTTTTTTTGTTTTGTTTTGTTTTGTTTTTTATCAAGTCTGACTTATCTATTTTCTCCTGTGTTGCTTGTGCTTTAGGGGCCATATCTAAGAAACCGTTACTTAATCCATGGTCACAATTCATGTTAATGTTTTCTTATGAGTGTTTCATCGTTTTAGCTCTTACATATCTGTCTGGTCTTTTTTTTTTTTTTTAAGATTTATTTGTTTGACAGAGAGAGACACAGTGAGAGAGGTAACACAAGCAGGGGAGTGGGAGGGGGAGAAGCAGACTTCCAGCTGAGCAGGTAACCCACTGTGGGGCTCGATCCCAGGACCCTGGGATCATCACCTGAGCCTAAGGCAGATGCTTAATGACTGAGCCACCCAGGCGCCCCAAGTCTGGTCTGTTTTGAGTTAATTTTTATATGGTATATAAAAATATATTTTATATGGTATGAGGTAGGAGTCTGCCCTCCTTCTTTTGCAGGTGGAAATCCATTTGTCCCAGCACCATTTGTTGAAAGACTATTTTTTTCCTCATTAAGTTGTGTTCTTGCTCGTGTTAAAAATCAATTGGTCTTAAGTGTAAGGGTTTATATCTGGACTCTCATTTTATTCCATTAATCAATATGTCTGTTCTTATACCCATACATACTACACTGCCTTGATCACTGTAGCTGTGCAGTAAGTTTTGAAATCAGGAAGCATGAGTCCTCCATCTTATTCTGAGTGCACTTGAACTTTTGGTATCAAACACGGAGAGATCTGTGAATGAACAGAAGAGCATGGGGATTGGGGCCCATCCTCAACGCTTCATGTCAGGAACACAGGCTCCAAGTTCGACACCTGCCTTGGAGAGATGGATTCCCGCCCTCTCAGCCTACGGCTCCTCATGACAAATCAACGGAAACATTCTGCAGAGAACAATGATCCCCTTGGGTTATTTTAAACATCACTTTATGTCTTCCCTACCTGTTCTTCTCCCTAATTGCTCTTACTGAAACAGTGTCATTCACAACTGGATTATTAATGAACTAAGAGGGAGCCCAGGGGGTGAATGAGGGAGGGGGATTTCAGAGGACTTGGGGGGCCTGAGGGCCTGGAATGAGGCCAGCCCTGAGGTTTTCACTTGCTCAAGAAAGGTTACTGAGTTTCCTTAGCAAACAGGAAATCACTAAACTCAGATTATACTGTCCATCTCAAAAGAACATTGCAAGTGTGTGATGGCCCAGAGGGATTCTTGAAACCAGACTGCTGGGAATTGAAATAACAGTGCAGCACCCCCAAACTCCCCAAACTTAAACCTTGTCTTCACCCCATGGCTGGCCCTGGGCTGCCTAAGGTTCTAAGCTGAGGCTGAGAAAGCTCAGGAAACAAGGTCCTTTGTGGAGAAGAGAATTCTATTGTTCTAAAGCCAGTGTTCAGGGGGTGTGGATTCCAGAGAATGTTTTGGTATGGGGTTTTTCCCTTTGTTAACTTTCTCTTCTCTTCCTGGGGGGTGGGGAGTAGGGCCTTCTCCACGGCGACTTAAAAATAGTTAAATCCATTGTCCTGTCAAAAAAGAAAGAAAGAAAGAAAGACAGACAGACAGATGGTGCTCAGAGGACTGGGGCCTTCAGTCCCAGAAAGAGTGTGGAACTCAAAGATAGAAGGCACCTCAGCATCTTTTGCTTTTTCGTTTACATCTCCGGAGAGCAGCCCGGGTCTGGAACCTGTACAGCTCAAGCTTTGACAGACGTCAGCAGAGGTGCGACCACTTCCTTCTTCCTGACCTTCACCTCCTTTCTTTCCAGAAAGAGGAAATGATACGCGGCTACGTCGCAGGCCACAACCCCCAAGCTCCCACTAGTCTCTCCCCCTTCTCAGCTGGGGAACCTGCCCCCGCTAACCTGTCCCAAGGGCAAGGCCTAGTTGGGCTCCTTGACGTCCAAGGAAGCCTTTAGAGTCAGGTCGCGCAGGCCCTCAAGGTACGAGCCTGACTCTCCGCCATTGGTACTGATTCTGGGTGACCTGGGGCAGGTCCCTGCTCCCCTCTGGGCTTCAAGACGCCCTTCCATTGAACAGGAGCAAGAATACAGTCCTGGGTTTCCTCCTTTCCGCGTTTGGTGTTAGCGAGGCGGGGCGTGGAGAGGGGGCAAGACCATGGGGAAGACTGGCCGTGTCCCATCGCCTTCGATTTCCCGCTGCTCGGAGGAGGGGACCGCACCCACCTAAGGCGCTGGGAACCTTGGGCGAGCTCGGTCGCCGGGCACAGGAGCGGGGTGAGCGTGCCCACCCACTTCCCGCGAGCTCGGGCCCCGCCCACGGGGAGGAGCCGAGGGGCGGCGCGGAGGCTGGCGGCCGGGCTCAGCCAGCTTCTGTCGCCGCACGGGCAGCTGCGGCTCGGGGACAGACTGACAGAGCTAGGGCCGGAGCCGCTCGGGGCCCGGCTAGGGAGAGCGGGTGAGTTCCTCCGCGGCGGCGCCCCTCCCTGGCTGGACCGGGCAGGGATGGGGATCGCGGCGGGGAGGTGGTCCCAGCCGCCGAAGGTCTAACTGGGGGTGTGTGGGGCGCGTGGGCCAAGGGCCGGCGGCTGGAGGGAATTGGGGGAGGGGGCACTGGAACGGCGGGTGCCGGGAGCGCAGGCCGGGGAGTCGGGCTGGAGTGGGGGCGTTCTCCGGGTCTGGCGCGCAGACAACGAGGCCGGGGTAGGGGGCGCATCGGCAGGTTGTTGGCTGGGGCCGCCGTGGCCCGGTCTTGGGACAGCCTGTGGGATTTCTGCTGCTTCTCCCCGGGGACGCAATGCCGGGAAGCGGGAGCCACAACCAAACATCAAACAGCCCGGGTACCCAGCCTCAGGGCCCGGCATGGGGGCGCCGCCCCCTCGCGTGGTGGCGCCAGGTCCCCGCAGAGAGCGCTCCTGCCCGGGCGGGAAAGGTCCCCAGGGCAGGCGTCCCCGCGCGCGGACCCACCCCATCGCCAGCTCCAGCTGACAGCGCCCGCTGGACCCGGGAGACCCCGCGCGCTTCTTCCCGGCGAGAGGTGCACCCGGCCTCTCCAAAGGGCAGCCGTGAGCGGGCTGCTGGGTACCCCGCGCCAGGAGCGCGCCTCTCTTCCCGAGTCCCGCGCCCCGACTCCTGCCAGAGGAGCGCCCCCGAGCGCCGGGGATGGGCAGAACCCGTGCAGCGCGCTCTGGGGAGGTCGCGCAGAGGGGTCTCCCCAAGGTCATACGGAGCGCCCAGGCTGAGCTGGCCAGACCGCCCCGAGTGGAGAGCAGGGAGGGGAAGGTGCCCGCTACCCGCCTCCTTCCCTGATGCAGACTCCCTTCCCTCCCTCCTCCTCCTCCCCCAGTCCGGACCCGGCTTCGCGGGAGCTGCTGCTGATGCAGCTCCCAGCCCCGAGCGGATGATTGAGCCTAGGCGAGCTTTGAATCCGGTGCTCCCGGGAGGGCCGCGCGCAAAGCCTGGGACCCGGTGTTCGGGGCACCTCGGGAGCGGGGAGAGAGGTGGCTGCATAAGCGCTTCTCAGAACCGAAAGCCGAGCTGCTTGCGCGCCCATGTGATTGGATTCCACATAATGGGCCCCTGTTCTCGCTGTCAGAAGCGCCCACCAGCTCCCCGCGGCCCCGGGCACCAGGTGCCGCCTCTGAATCGCCCTCTGTGGAGGACCCAGGGCCCTGAGGTACCAGGCGCCCTTTCCTGCAGGGCTCTTTCGGGAAGGGGCCTGTCGTTAGCCGCCTGAACCCGCGTGGTACTTTCCTGTGTGCCCTGCCATTTCCTGCGGCGGGAGAGACACGGGGGGGGGGGGGGGGGGGAACCCTCCATCTGGGAGGCCTTCCCCTAGGCTGGTGATAAAGCCTCTTAGTTCAGCCAGTGACAAGCCCTTCTCTGGAGGGGAAGGCACTTGGCCTCTGGGAACCTCAGCGGCCTCTAGGAAATGGGGCTAATAATCAGACGGTGGGCAGGGGTGGTGAGGTACCCCATGTGAAGTGCTGGCTCAGGGGGCAGGAGGATGGCTCCTAGCTAGATATTGGTGCCTTTCATAATGGTTTTAGTAGGGGCATGTCCCTTCCTTTGGGCAGGAGCAGAAGCCGAGTCTTGGTGGCTGGTTCTTCAGGGGAGGGGGAAGTTTCCATGTCTTCCCTCAGCCCTGGTCATAAAGCTCCAGCCCTCGGGTAGCTTGTGGGCCCTGGTGAGTTCTTTCAGCTCCTGGCCTGCTTACAGGGCAGTCCCACACACATCCTGCCCCCTGCCACCTCTCCCACCCGCCACCAGGCTGTTGGAGGCAAGATGTCACTCAGGCCACTCTGGACATTCAACTTTGCGTCTTCCCGTCCGTTGGCGTCTACACCACTGCAGTGTCCCTTGCCCTGAAACCTTTCTGACCCCTCTCCTGGCCCAGCTTCTGGAGAGCCTCTTCCAGAAAGACCAGCCACTCCTTCCTACCCTCCCTCAGTCCCCTTGCACTGGCCTGTTCACCTGCGTGTTCTCTGGGTAGTGTGTGTCGGGGCTCCTTGCATCCTGGTGCTCTCTGGACCTCCCCTGCACGCACGGAAGGACATGCAGGCAAGGCCAATGTCTGGTACTTGGTGCTGGAGTGAAGGTTAAATTCTGATCCAGCCGCTAAGTCTGTTTGTGAGCCTGAGGGACATGGGGGAAGAGGATGCTGACACAGGAAGGTGGGATTTCTCCTGAGGCAAGAAACTTCCTGCAGGGCCCCTTTGGACACTTTGGAAACTAGGGCCTTAGGTTCTTCTCAAAACCAATTCCAACTCCAGAGTGACCTTTCTAAGGCCAGCAGAGGTTGCAGCTACAGCCTGGTTTTGCAGATAACCGAAGGCACGTTCCTGGATTCATGCGCTGGGCTTGGATCCTTAGGAACCCCACCCAACCTGGCCCCCTCCCCCCAAGTAGCTGCCCCAGCCTGAACCCTACCTGCACCCAGGACTTGAACTATTTGGTGTGTGGTGGGTCCCACAGGGTATTTTTCCAGCAGAGACCAGGACAGCCCTCTTCCCCTGAGCACATGTTAGAGACCTGCCTCCTACGGAAAACTATAAAGTTGGAAGAGCGAGGACACCAGACAGGTCTAGTTCAAATGATAGCTCTGTGATGCTAGGTAAATTATTTATTCTCTCTGAGTCCTGCTTTTTCTCATCTGTAAAATGGGAGCAATAATAATATCGGCTTCATGGGGTTGTGAGAATTTTGTGTGACTGTAACGCAGAGAAGGTGCTTACTACAGCGCCCAGTGTGGGCAGGAATGCAGGAAATGATAATCGTCACCAGCACCACTATTTCCTTCTTTGCGCGGGGCTGTCCGAGGTCCCCCCACCTCTAGTCTGGGGGAATCAGATCTTTTCTGCCTCTCCCTCTCAGGACTGGATGGAGCCTCTCAGCCCAGGAGGCCTGATTCCTGGGAACTGGAGTCCAGCATGGGCCTGTCCCCAGGAAGTCTGGGAGTTAGCCTCTTTCATCAGGCAGTCTTTTTTCAGGATTCGTGGATTCATTCAATAGATGTTTACCCAAGTCTAGACCTTGTGCTTAGGACACGATTTCATGATGAATCAAGCAGCTCTCAGGGCCCCCTCTGTGAGGGAGAGGCCAGCCTGGAAACTGAGAGCGAGGACCGTGTGGGAAAATAGCTTCACGGATGAGAAGAGGAGTGGAGAGCGAGAGCGGCGGATGGATAGGTAGCCGGGGCAGGCAAACCCAAGTTTCCCTCCTGCATTGCCACCTTGCTGCTGAGGGGTGATGGGCAGATGCTCAGCTCAGGGCCTTTTAGATATTAATCAGAGTTTTGCACATGTTAGCTGCTATTATTACTAGTCTATGATGACCAATAGCAGGTGGGCAAACTTTGCTGGAGGAGCACAGTTGAGGCTTTTGAGACAATTTTCCAGGTGGCGAGCACTAGAGGGGCAGGCAGGCTGAGCAGAGAGACCAGCTTGCACAAATGCACAGGGGCTCAAAAGTGCATGGTGTCTCTGAGAGCAGTGGGCAGGAGTGGCAGCTGGAGTGCCGTCGCCATAGGGCGCGATAGAGGCAGGGGCGTCAGGCAAGGCCAGGGAGGTGGGCAGAGGCCATCCTGCCAAGGGCTCCCAAATGATTAAACGCTCACTGATCCGAAGCAGGCAACCTGTGGCCCGTGGAGGGTTGTCTGACTGCACGCCCGGGGAAGTCTAGGATTAACTTCTGCATGGGAGGGAGGGCTGGCCTGGGCTCCTCTGCTGATATGGTAACTGGCCCTTCTTCCTCCTACTGGGAAGGTGGGAGATCCCCTTGTTCTTCCCAGATAACTTTTACTACTTCTGCACCCGTTTCTCTCTTCCTGGGACTCAGTTTCTTATCTGAAGGAAGGGGACGTGGGTGGAGGATGTGTCGTGATTTGACTCCTTATTGATTATAATACTGAACCAAATGCTTTCCTGGATGCTGGTCACTGTCCAAGGTCTTTGCTTGCATTGCCATGGAATCCTCATAGTGACTTACTGAAGTGGATGCATTTATCCCTGTTGCACAGAAGGGGACACCGAGACACCGAGCCTGAGGCGATTTGCTAAAGGGCATGCAGCTCATGAGTGGCAGGAATTCATGTGTGGGGGTCTCCAAAGCTGCTGTGTGCTGTCTGGTACCACTTTCCTCATGTTTCTTTTAACTATCTAAAGCTGACCGCAGGACGTCTGGCTTCTTTCGCTGCATACTGTCGGATGCCAGACAGTAGGGACTTGGAGATGGGTCACGGTGGGGTGTGCTCTAGGTACCTGTACAGGACCCCATTCGCTCACTGCTCTGATTTTTGGGGAGGCCCTGTGCAGGCACTTGGCAAAGGGGAGGAGGTGTTCCTGCGTGTCTCAGAGCGTGTTCCTCGGCCTCCAGGACTCCCCAGTGTGCAACTTGATTGATGTGGCAGGTGGTGGTTGAGTTCCACCGTGACCCCCAGGAAGGAATGAGCCTTTTGGGATGGCTGGTCAGAGCATCACATGATCGTACCTGTTTTTAGAAAGAAAAGGCTCAAATTTCCTTTTCTGTAGGAGGCAGATTTTGGGTTCAAACCTCAGTTCTGCCTTCCACTGGCTTTGGGTCCTCGGGTGATTGATTTCTTCACTTTCTTGAGCCTCAATATCTTCATCTGCAAACACAGATCATATATACCTCAAATATATACACCATCCAGCATTGTCATAAGGATTTGTAACCATACAAACACTATCTGGCTCCCTTGTCATAGATGACATTGGTGTAGTATCCACAACACTGACCTCCATGGTACTTACCGTAATTGTGATGACCTGATTATTTTAGTCTATCTCATCCATTAGACCAGTGGTTCTCACCTGGGAGCAGTTTGGTCCCCAGGAGTCCTTTGGGAATGTCTGGAGACATTTTTGGTCGCCACACCTGGGGAGGTGCCGAAGGGGTGGCTGCTGTTGGCATCTAGTGAGTACAGACCTGACAAGGATG